TCTGCCTTCTGTTTCTCACCCAAAGACAACCGCGTCCCTTATTCTGAAAACCAGCTATCTTTGTCAAACCTTTCCATGGTATCCCAGGAGACCCCTGCCCTGAACTAATCCAAGTCAAGACAAGACACATTTATTAGGAACCTACAATGTGGAAGGCCCTGTGCCAGATGCTGAGGATATAAAGACAAGATAGTCTCTGCCCTCAAGGGGTTTAAATTCACTGCGGGTGTGTGTATGTGTGAGGGAATGATGTGCAGCTATAGTGTGCCAACAGATAGGTATATACGTGATCCTACATTCATGTAGGAATCACAGAATTTGAGAGTTGGGCAAGACCTCAGATGCATCTAGGCTCACTCAAACCCTGAGAGAATCTCTCCTATACCATACTTGACAAATAGTCTCTGGCCTCTGTTTGAAGACTTTCAATGAGGGCCTCCCACTCCCTCCTGAGACAGCCCATTCTAGTCTTGGCCAGCTCTAAACATGAGGCACTTTGCCTGAAATCAAGCCTTAACTTTGCCTCCTTGCAACTCCCACTCATTGCTCCTGACTCTGCCCTCTGGGGCCAAGCAGAACAAATTGACATAAGTTGCCCTGGGGTCTGGGGGCTCAAGCACACACCCATAAAAGCTACAAACACTTCCTTCCTAGGCTCTAGACAACAATGACAGGCCTGGGGGATGTTCTTGGGGCCTTTCTTCTCTATAGGAATCACCTGATGGCTACTCCATCCTGAGGATGTGGAGAAGATGGGACACACCTATTAGAGTCATGAGATGCTGGTCAGACACTTAGAGCTGTGGAGGAGCTACCCCTACCCCACAGCCCAGGCTAGATTGTGACTGTGTAAGGATGAAGGGAGTCTCTGTAGAAGAATATTTTACCCCTCTTCCATCTCAACTTGTTCCTTATCCCTCAATGCCCCACCAGGATGTGTGTTCTCAGCAACAGATTTTCTTACCTAGCCTTAATCAGTGAATGGGTGTTGCCTCAATCAAACTGAGACCTGTTAAAGACCTTAGCTTAAAAAGGCCAACGTCTCCCAGTACATCCAGGGCCATCTCCAGTCCACCTGATCTATATCTTGCCATTGGACCCAGATGGCTCCTGAGGAGAAAGTGAGACTGGTGACTGTGCACAGCCCTCCCTCCCTTAAATCCAATTCGCTCGCATGTCAAGGTCCTCTTCGAGAATGGAGGACCAACAATAACAACAATCTCAGCAGCAGCATTCCCTATGGGCTGGGGGTGCAAAGAAAGGCATAGTAGTCCCCACTCTCAAAGAGCTCATAGTCTAATGGGGGAGACACCATACAAACAACTATGGACAAATAATACATATATAGATGATAAATCAGAGAAAATCAATAGACGGAAGGCTCTAGTATTAAGGGGGATGAGGAAAGGCATCTTGCAGAAGGTGGGACTCAGCACTGTTTGTGTCTGATTTCCCTGAGAATTAAACCTCTTCCCCTAAGCCCTACTCCCCTTCTCCCCGTAGGAGAATAATAGAAAGCAATAGGATGAAGGGCAGAAAGTGGGGAAGAGCTCAGCCTAGCACCAGGCTCAGATTCCCCAAGTATTCCATTGGCTGTTGTATGCAAGAGATTGTAGGGAATGACAAGGATCGGAAGACTTGGAACCTGCCTTCTAGAGGGTGATGATCTTAACAGAGAGGGCAAATAAGCATGTGACACTCAGACAGCAGTGGAGGAGTAAGGCTTTCTTAGGCCTAAGGCCTTCTTTTGCTCACATGTCATGATGTCTATCTAGGCAACTCTGGTTCTCCAAAGCTATGCCAGCAGCTTTGGAGAACTAGCTCCACTGAAATATTGGAAGCATCTTTTTGTATTTAGAAACTCTCACTGGAACTCTGCTACTTTGGTAACCTCTGCTGTCCCCTACACTCTGGAAAGAACCTCCTGAGGGAGTATAGGGTGTGTTCCGACTGACCGTGTTCCGACTGACCCGGACTCCCCTGCCGCCTTTAGCCTAAGGGAGTGCACGTAGTCGCCTGAGGACCTCTGGTATCATGTAAAAGACATGAGGTGAAGGAGGCGATCCTGGGTAAGTGATTGGTCAGCACTACTCTTGATACGCGCTCCTCACAAGGCCAAGATCTTCGGGGCGGCGTACAGTGGCTTGCCTGGGTGGAGGTAAGAAAGGGTGACCAATGGGAGCTTATTTGGAGCTTATGAGAAGAAAATAGATAAGTAAAGAGCAACGGAGGGAGAGGGAGGAGTAGAGGTAGAAGAAAGAGGAGCTACTGAAAGTTGTTTTGTCCTGTGTGTTCTGTGGGGGGTGTTCTCCAGCTTAAAGAAGCTGGTGCGGAGACGTCCGAAGCCTGTTGAGGTAAGTATAGGAGGTGAGTATTAAAATATTGCCCAAGTTCTTTGACCTATTAAGAGATACAGGAACCTTACAAGGGAGCTTTTGTTCTGAGACAAGCCGGGCCAGCAGACGTATTCCCCCACACTCTGTGCTCTCCCGTTTGAAGGCTCAGCAATGACAGTCTCTACCACATTGTGAGCCAGGAAGACTGCCGGGCTACCCATTGAGGACTGAAGATCACGATATGGGACCATCTAATCTACAACCCAAAGGAATGGATCTCCCTGGGAGGCAGCATGTCCAGGGATAGACCACATGCTTAGAGGCCACTTATTGATTGGTTACTGCTTCAAGGAGAAATCGACTGAGTGAATTCCAGGCTTGAGGTCCTCAGTAATCATTTTTGTTCTTCTCCCAGGGCTTACCTAGTACAGTGATTTTTATATCTAATACCCCTAATAAATGACTGTCGTGAATAAATTGGGTCTCCTGCTTATCTTGATGTGACTAGTAATAATAATAGGTGGTGTCTGGGTAATAAGTTGCCTCTTACAAAGCGTTTTGAATGGAATAATGTTGGTGACCAAACCTCACCTATGACATACAACAGTCCCTATAGCTTAGGAACTATGGGTATTAAACCCAACTTACAAAGAAGAAAACAGGTTTAGAGGAGCAAGTTTGGAACCAGATTCTTCCACAATCCAAACTCAACATGAAGGCTTGGGAGCTTCCAGCAACTCAGTTCAATTGCAAGTATTCCTGAGAAATTAGACATTGGCTATACGGGGAAGGAAGTTACCAAAGAGCAATGAGAGGCCTGGAATAGTAAAAAAGAATATGGTACCAGAGTCTCAGGACCAGGCTTTTGTCACTTTCTAGCAACAGTAGTACCTACCTTCCCTATCCCACAGGGATTTTGTCAAGATTTGATGAGGGAAGAAAACTTTCAATGGACCCTACAAATGTAAGTTTATGTTACTATCATAAAGATGCAATTTTGTCCAGAGCCATACATGTACCACAGAACGATGGGGGAACAGAAGGTCCTCAAAATTTTGGCAAAGGTCCAAGGTTGTAATGATTGCTTCTACCAAGTTATCTAGTCCCTGAGATGCTCTTGCAAAACCAATCTCTAACACTGGGATTATTTTCTGAGTTTCCCTATGGCTCCTTTGGTGATAGAAGGGTTACAGTCTGTAACTGAGAACAAGCAAGCTTTGTCTGAATTGTGAGATTGGTTTCAGGTTGACCTGTTCCTGTCATTCAATCCTGTGCCCTGGTTGGCAAGAGTACATGCCCAGCTGTTAGATGTCCAGGTAAGGGCTGAATTTCTATAGGAAAGAGACTCAGCAGCTTCCTTTTCCCATTTTCCTTGTTCTTCTTTTCTTTAAAACCACTTTGATTAATGACCAGGAAGGGAAGGTTAAAAAAGAAATTAATTTTTTAAACTTTAAGAAAATTTTCGAAAAAGCAGGTTGAACTTTTAAAAGAATACTATAAATTAAACACTGAGCAATTTGGTGCTGACTTTTCGGTTTTTTTTTTTCTTTTTAAGCCCAAAATTCAGCTTGTCACCTGATTTAAAAGAGTATTGTCTGCCGATGTGCAATGCAATGGGCCAGTCTGGTTTCTTTGGATGGATGGTAACATACCACAACATGGATGGTCTGTAGTGAGCAAGGTGTCCATTTCACCTGGCAGATAACAGATTAGCCATCCTCACATACTTTTTCTGAATTTAAGAAGTCAGTCTTAGGATCCTACTAGCCTTCCAGAAAGACTAGTTACTTTGCTAGCTATATTTATTTGGTAGAAGGGTGGGGAATTATTTCCACATCAGCAGGTGTCCTGGACATTTGGAAAGATTGGGCTATGGTCAGGAAGATGAAGCTAAACAATGTTAAGAAGGAGAGGCAGCCTTCTGGAAAGCTAGCAGGATTACAGAGATGTCCATGTAGTGACTGCACATGAATAATCTATAGCAAATTGCTTGCTGTCTCAAGGAAGGGGGAGGAGAGTAAGAGAATTCGGAATTCAAAATTCAGAAAAACAAATGTGAAAATTTGTTTTTACATGTAATTGAGAAAAAAAGAAAATAAAAAAAAAGAAAATTGAAGTGATAATCACACACACAAAAGAAATGTCCATGTCAGGAGATTGTAGACATCTAAGTGTCAAGGCATGGGGGTGGGGGTGGGGTGGAGACTGGGGAGAAACATGGGAAGGAGGCTGAAGGCTCGATAAGATTGACAAGGAGAGCAAAGGCCAAATATCTCAGCTACCAAAGAACAACTGATTAGATTCACATCTTCCACCACTTCCTTCCCCTTCAACATCTGCTAAGGCAGCTTTCAGGCCCACAAACTCCTCAGATATGAAGCCTTCGCTGATATGAATAGGCTCCTCCTACCACATTTCCCTATCCCTTCTGAACTCCCCTGCTATCTGCCATTTAATACAGATGCAGCCAGACAGACATCCATTCCCTACCTTTAGCAGAGAGCTGTTGAACTGCGGGGCAGCCCCTCATTTTACAGTAAAACCTGCCATCGTAAGATGATGACACCCCCTTAAAATGACAGGGATCCTCCTCCTGGTCCCCTCACCTAGTTAATACACACTGCAATGTCCTATCACCCACAGCTGGCCTTTGCGTCTTCTCACCTGTGCCACTTATGGGGTTTTTCTGGGTTGTTTCTGATGTAAGCACAGCAAGCTTGCAAACCTAAGGAAAGACAAGGATTTATTGCTGTCATCTGATTCTACAGTAACATTTTCAGAAACTTTGCCCAGCAGCTTCAATCCCCTATTTCAACAAGCATAGACAGATAGCTAGACATGAAATGCACAACCCAGAGAGATCTTGGCAGAAAAGATTACAATGGGATGGAATCTTCAGTTTAATGCCTTAGACCTTAACAGTTGGATTTTTGACAAAAAGTTGTTTGCCGCATTTTGAGTTTCAAGTTGTCTCCCTTCCTCCCTCCCAACCCCGAATTAGAGAAGGCCAACATTTGATATGGACATAGCTGTGGAACCATACAGTACATCCTTCCATACATCAGTTCTTTCTATGAAGGTGGATGGCATCTTCCTTCAAAAGTCCAACGTAGTTGATATGAAAGATCATATTACTCAGAACAGCTTAGTCATTCACAGTTACTCTTCAGACGAGGTTGCTTTTACCGTATACAACATTCTCGTTTCTGCTTTTTCACTTTGCATCAGTTTAAGTAAGCTTTTCTGTGTTTGTCTAAAATCGACCTGCTTGTCAATTCTCATGACACAGTGGTATTCCATCACAATCGTATACCACAACTTATTCAGCCATTCCCCAATCTATGGGCATCTCCACAATTTTCCAGTTCTTTGCCATGACAAAGAGAATGGCTATAAATATTTTAGAACATACAGATTCTTTCTCTTTTTTCCCTGACCGCCTTGGAAAACGGACCTAAGGTGGTACTGCTGGGTCAAAGGGTATACACAGTTTTATGACTCTTTGGGTATGGTTCCAAATTGCTCTCCAAAGGACTTTCTTAATATGAACATCCCATGGTGCCGTTCTCTGCCCTGCTCAGGCCACAGAGGGAGTGCTATTGCTGTTCAGTCGTTTCAGTCATACCCAATGCTTTGTGACCCCATCGGGGGTTTTCTTGGCAGAGATACTGGAGTAGTTTGCCATTTCATTCTATAGCTCATTTTAGAGATGAGGAAACTGAGGCAAAAAGGCTGAAGTGACTTGTCCAGGGCCACAAAGCTATTAAGTGTCTGAGGCCAGATCTGAATTCTGAACTGAGGTCTTTCTGACTCCAGGCCTGGTGCTCTATCCATATATGGAGTTCTGTGTTCAGTTCTGGGAGACAGAGTTTAAAAAGGACACGGAGAAGCTGGAGAGTGACCAGAGGATGGCAACTAGGATGGAGAAGAGCCTTGTGTCCGTGCCATTGGAGGGCTTCTTAAAGGAATGGGGAGGTTTAGCCTGGGGAAGAGTCAAGTGAAGACAATAAGCATTTATTAAGCACCTGATGTGCTTAATAGCCAGGCGCTGTGCTAAGTGCTGGGGATACAGAGAAAGGCAAAAAACATTTCCTACTATTCAAGGAGCTCACAGTCTAACAAGGGTGACAATATGCAAACAGTTGTGTAAATACAAGATAAACAATGGAGAAACTAGAGACAAACCCGGAGGGAAGGCACTTAGATTAAGGAGGACTGGGAAAGGCTTTGGTGGGACTTTCGCTGAGACCTGAAGGAAGCCACAAGAAGTCAGGAGGCAGAGATGAGGAAGTAGCGAATTCCAGGCATGGGGGCAGCCAGTGAAAATGCCTGGAGTGGCGAGATACAGCGTGTTAAGGAAGGAAGAGCAGGCAGGCCAGAGTCACTGACTCACAGAGTACATAGGAGAGAGCAAGGTGTAAGAAAACTGAAAAGGCAAGACAGGGCCATATTGGAAGGGCTTTAAGAGCCTAACAGATCATTTCATATTTGATTCTGGGATAATACCAAATGACTGGGGTTTGTTAAATACGAAGGTGACATAATCAGACTTGTGCTTTATGAAGACCAATTTGATAGTTGTGTAGAGGATGGACTGGAGTAGGGAGAGACCTGAGGCAGGAAGAACAAGGGGAAATATCTGGAGCACTGAAAACTTGCAAGCCACCGGCCTGTCCCTAAGATCCTGGAATAGCATAACACTCAGTACTCCAAGAAAGCAGAAAAAGGCCCAGACCAGACCTTCCCTCCAGAAATGTGGCAGAGCCCAGTCCTGACATCAAGTATGAAGTCCAGAAGAAAGCTGGGAGAACGTGCAAACATAAAGCAAATCCTGCCATAATGAGCTATTCTGGTGACAGGAATGCTCAAGATAAAAACGTAGAAGAAAATGACTCCAGAACATCTACAAGCAATGCCTCAGAGAAAAACAGTTTGGGCATAAACTCAACTAGAATTCCTGGAAGAGATGAAACAAGAGTTAAAAAAAGAATTAAAAGATCTTTTTATAAATGGAATTAGAAACTCGAGGAAAAAAGTTGGAAAGGAAATGAGAACTATGGAAGAAAGAATTGAAAAGGGAATCAACGGTTTGGCACAAGAAGTACAAAACCTTGCCCAGGCAACAGACTGCCTGAAAATATGAATGGACCAAATAGAAGCCAATGACCTCATGAGACAACCAGAAATATTAACACAAAGTCAAGAGGCTTAAAAATGAAAGAAAACACAAAGTATGTCAGAGCAAAAACAACTGACTTAGAAAACAGATCAAAGAGGAAAAAATTATGACTTACTGGATTGTCTGAATGAACACCATGACAAAAAAAAAAGAGCCTAGCCATCCTATTTCAAGAAATCATAAAAGAAAACTGCCCATATCTCTTAGAACCTGACAGCAAAGTGGAAATAGAAACCTCAAATTCCTGAAAGAAACCTTAAAGTGAAAACTCCCAGGAACATCATAGCCAAAATCCAGAACTTCTAGGCCAAAGAAAAAATACTGCAAGCAGCCAGAAAGAAAGAATTCAAGTGCTTGAGGAGCCGTAGTCAGGATCACATGTGATTTAGCAGTCACCAATAAAAAGCAGCAGAGAATTTGGAATATGATATTCCAGAAGACAAAGAATATGGGCTCATAGCCAAGAATAACTTACTCAGCAAAGCTGAGTATAATGTTACTGGGGGGAAAGGGAGGTTTAATGAAATAGAGGACTGCCTTTCAAGCATTACTGATAAAAAGGCCAGAGCTGCAGAGATACTTTGAAGTTCAAACACAGGAGTGAAGAGAAACATAAAAAGGTAAACATCAGGGGTCATAGAGTCCAACTAGACAAGGCCTGGTTCTGTTTTGCCTTGATGATCTTAAGAATGGGAAAAGAGGGGAAGAAGAATATACTCATGTTGAGGGGGAAGGAGGAAGGTTAGGGGGAAATTACCTCACATCATTAGGGCACATGTGTAGACAAACAAGAAAGAGAGGGTAGAGGGCTGTCACTGACACTTGAACATCGCTCTTATCTGAACTGGTCAAAAAAAGGAAGAATATACCCACATAGAGTTGAGTACAGAAATATATCTTCACCCAACAGGAAAGTAGAAGGGAAAGGGGAATAAAAGGAAAAGGGGGATTAGGGAGAGGGCAGATTAAGGGAAGGATTAGTCCTAAACAAAACAAACATTAAGGATGTACAAAAACATATATTGCTCTTTTTGAGGTGGAAAAGGATGGGGATCTGAGGTGGGGTGGCCAGAAACTGGGGAATGCATGAACAAGTTATTGTACATAAATGTGATAGAATATCATTGTGCTGAACTCTTAGTGGCATAATAAATAACCAGGATTCCAAAACACGCTACCTACCTCCTCACACAGAGATGCAGGATTTGCAAGGAAGAATGAGACCCATTTTTTCTGACATAGCCAAGGTGGAAAGTTGTTTTGATTAACTATATATGTTTGTAATGGGTTTTGTTCTTCTCAAGATCCCACTGAGGGGACAGGTGGAAGGATGAGAAGATGGATTTTGGCCGATTAAAACAAATAATTTTTTAAAAGAAGAAATATAAGAATTCACTTTCCTCCCTCCTTTGCAGATGTAGAATATTCTGGTTGTAGAACACTGAATATACTGTTGGACTCGGCTGACCTGTTGCTTAGTTTTGCTAAACAGCTTTTTTTACTCTTTGTCAGAAAGGCTGGCTCTCTGGGAAGGGAAATATACTGGGGAATGAAGGCGATAGATATAAAACTGAAAGATCATCAATAAAAATACCTTTAAAATAACAGAGATTCCTGGTTTCCTTTTTCTCTTTCTTTCCATGTATATGGAAATGCTCACATGTGATGTTTGTCAGCTGTAAAATAACAAAAACATTTAAATAATTTTTAAATTAATGCAAAAAAGAAAGGGAATAAGCGTTTATATAGCACCTACTATGTGTCAGGCACTCTGCTAAGCACACTACAAATACTGTCTCATTTGATCCTCACACCTGTGGGAGACAGTTGTCGTAATCCCCACTTGACAATTGAGGGAACTGAGGCAAACAGAGGTTAAGTGACTTGACTATGGTCACATAGCTAGTAAGGGTGGATCTGAATGCAAGTCTTCCTGACTCCATGCCATCGACTTGCCTCAAAGAATAAGAGTAGAAGGGTCAGCCATAGAAAGGAGAAGGGACTCATCTCTCCTAGGATAGGACTGTCATTGTCTTCCATGATTTCTTCCCATCCTCCTGTCCCCACTGTGTAAGCATTTCCTTTTTTCTAAATTAAATTTTATTCTATTTTCAGATCTCCATCCTCTCCCTCCTACTTTCCTCCTCCTCTCCCCTTCCAAAACCTAACAAAGTAAGAAAAACAAAACCCCTGCTACAAACAGTTTTAATCAAACAAAGCAAATCCCTTCATTGGCCACGTCCAGTTAAAAAAACCAGTCCATCACTTTTCTAGCAGAAGCTGGGTATTTACTTCTAAGGCGCTCTAGACTCTTGCTGTCCTGTTGTAAGCTCCCAGCTGAAAAATGCTATTGTCCATTGCCCTCTGGGCATCCCTGACCCGTTGGCTTACACTGTGTCCCAATACCTCCTTAGGTCACAAAGATATCACTTTATCACTTTGGAAATCCAATGCACACAATGGATGTGTGTGTGTGTGTGGGGGGGTGTAACCAAGAGCTTTCTATGGCTCCCTCTGAAGTAAAAATTGGGGACTGCATGGAGAGTTTGTTAATTCGACATATGGCTGTACATGCTGTCCAGGGTAATGCGAAAAGGAGCAACTATGCAACCCAAATCCTGTAACTGCTGTTTTTAAATAAATATAAATAGATCATACTCAGCACTTGACTACGGGACTCACATCATCCAGGCATTTTCATGCTCCTCTCTAATTATTAGCCCAATCCATTTAGGAAGAGTCATAGCTTAATGAAGGATTCCTGTGCACCATTCATTCTTTCTTGGGCTCTGAAATTTGGGGCTTGAGAAGCCCCTTGTCATCTTGTACCTCAATATTTCCTGTTTGTGGCATCAGTGGCAGAACATGAAGGAGTCTACAAGATTTCTTTCTGATACTGAGAACAGACTGTAATTGTGCTCCAAGGCCCAGGATGCCTAATTACACTTGAGGACAAACTTCTCGGCTGTGGTGACCCAGGAAACAAACAATGTGGGCAGTTTACAAGCGAACTGGCTTTAACCCTTATGAACATGTGTCTGTTGGGAGGAAAATAACTAACTGTATTAAAAATATTCATAGCAGCAACATTTCTTTCTTTTTTTATTTCCGCATTAGTCATCTTTTGAAAGAAGAATCACAACAAAAGGGGAAAACCATGAGAAAGAAAAAACAAAAAAAAAAAGAGAGAGAAAATAGCGTGCTTTGCTCTGCATTTAGACGCCATGGTTCTTTCTCTGGATGTGGATAGCATTTTCCATCATGAGGCTTTTGAAGCTGTCTTAGATCACTGCCATTGCTGAGAAGAGCTAAGTCAATCAAAGTTGACCATTACACAATGTTGCTGTTAAGCAGCAACATTTCTAACAGCAAGAAGTAAGAAACAGGGGGCAGCCAGGTGGTGCAGTGGATAGACCCTGAAGTCAGGAGGACCTGAGTTGAAATGCAGCCTCAAACACTTACTAGCTGAATGACCCTGGGCAAGTCATTTAATCCTGGTCACCTAAAAAAAAAGTGAGAAACGAACAAAATGAATAACCAAAGGGTATTATGTGGCCATAATGGATTGTCATGTGGCACAAGAGATGTCATCATTGTGAATCCTCTCACCATCAAAGCAGATTGCAACCTATCTACCTATCTATGTCTGCTAATTCTGAGAAGCTCTTAATCCTGAGAAGTCCTATCTGAAATCATAAGTTCTTAACCTGGGGTCCTATGGGTCTATGGATAGATTTCAGAAGGTCTGCGAACTTAGATGGGGAAAAATACAACTTTACTTTTGCTAGCCTCTAACTGAAATTTAACATTTTCAATTATGAATTTAAAGAAGATATTCTAAGAAAGGGTCTATCGGTTTCACCAGACTTCCAAAGATGTCTATGGCCAAAAACAAGGTTAGTAATCCCCACCTTAAGTCCTCCCCAGGGGGTACTGGAACTTTGGGAATTGTGAATATAGAAAAATTCAAGATGGGAAGAATTGCATGAAATGAGGCAGTGAAGAAAGCAGATCCTAAAGAACAGGAATGACACTGATGGTGCCCATGTGGGTGGCAGGGAGCCACAGGGGACAGGTTTCTGCATTAGGAATCAAGCAGCCTGGCTTCCAGGCCAATAGAATATATGCTCTGTGCTAATAGGGATGGCCTTCATAGCATTTGTAGCTGCAGTGCCCGGCACAGAAAAGAAAGGGTTAAGAAACGAATGATTGATTGATTGATTAAATCCCACCTCCAGCACTTCCCGGCTCTGTGATTCTAGGCAATGCCTTCATTTCTCTGGGCCTCAGTTTCCACCTCTAGAAAATGGAGATAATGATGCCACTAGTGGCTACCCTGCAGAGTTGTTGGGAAGATCAGATGAGATAATGTATGAGCCCTAGTTTCTATGTTGGGAATTCCGATCCAAAGTGTAAGTTATCGGCAAAAACAAGTTTCAGTGGCAAAGATTTATTGCCTGAAGGCCAAGCATCCAACTTGATCTCACAGATACAGGAAGAGGCTGGCTGTGAACAGTCTCAGAGAGGGATTGTCAGCAAGTCCAGAAGCTAGAGTACTCAACCATGAAGCCTTCTGTCTATATTGGCTCAGCAGGCAGGCTGTCAGTCAACCAAGCAGCAAGCATTTTTCTTAACTGCTTACTATGAGCCAAGCCCTGTGCTAAGTGCTAGGGATGCAAAGAAAGGCAAAAGCAGTCCCTTCAAGGAGCTCCCATTCCAGTGGAGGAGCCCACACGCAAGCAACAATGTATACACTAAATAACCACAGGGTACCTTGGAGGTAATAGCAGGGGAAAGGCATTGGGAGCAGGGAGGACTGGGAAAAGATTCTTGCAGAAGGTAGGACTTTAGCTGGGACTCATAGGAAGCCCAGGAAGAGGCAAAGGTGAGGAGGGAGAGCACCCGAGGCCCCCATTGGGGGCCAGTCAGCAAAAAGGCAAAGAGTATCTTATGGGAGATGGAGAGTCATATTCAAGGAATGGCAAGGCCAGTGTTGTGCAATCATAAAGTCAGTGGAAGAGAATTAGGTGTAGGAAGACTGGAAAAAAAAAAAGGAAGGGACCAGGTTTGAAGGGCTTTTCTATTTCATCCTGGAGGTAACAGGGAGCTACTGGAGATTACTGAGTTGAGGGTGATGGGGTCAGACCTCTCAGGCTTTAGGAAGATCACCTGGTTGCTGAGTGGAGGATGTGCTCAAGTGTATAGCAGCTTGAGGTGGGCAGCCTACCCCGAAGGCTCTTGCCATAGTCTAGGTGTAGGGTGACGAGGACCTACCTCAGGGTGATGGCCCTGTGAGCAGAGAGAAGGCGATGAATATGAGCGATGTTGTGAAGGCTGAAATGATCTTGAAAATGACCTTGACAAATAGCCTGGATCTGTTGGGAGGGTGGAGAGTTAGGAGTTGAGGCTGTGAGACCAGCGACTGGGAGAATGGTGATGCTGTAATTGTAACAGAGAATTCGTTCTGTTTTGGATACGTTGAGCCTGAGATGTCTACTGTAACGGAGGAGAGTGACTAGGGCTAGCTATGGAAATCTGAGAATGAGGAACAAAGAGATAATCCTTGAACCCACAGGAGCTGATCAGCTCACCAACCAAGAAAAGAAAGTCCAGAAGAGAGCCCTGGGGGATAGCCATGGCTAGTGGACAATGTGACCTGGGTGATGAACTAACAAAGGAGACTGAGAAGGAATGGTCTGATAGGTAGGAGGAGAACCAGGAGACCACCCAGAGAGGAGAAACTATCCAGGGGGAGAGGGCATCAGAGGCTGCAGAGAAGCCAAGGATGGGGGGGTTTCTGCACTATTAGGTAGGATGTGTTGGAATAGCTGGCTTCTCAGGTCTTTATACTGCTTTCTAAGTTACATAATGGTATTTGAATGAAGGAAAAAGCATCTATTAAGAGCTTACCATGTGACAAGCAATGGGGATAGAGGTAGAAAAGTGAGATAACACCTGCCCTCCAGGCACTCACATTCTTTGAAATGTTTTTTTTTTATTCTGAACTTACCCAAAAAAGGCCATATCCACACACCCAATCCAAAAAAAGATTCTATATGGAGCTATGTACATTCATACAGCTTCTTCTTTTTTTTTTAAAGGCAATTGGGGTTAAGTGACTTGCCCAGGGTCATACAGCTAGTGTCAAGTGTTTGGTCTGAGGTCTGATTTGAACTCCGGTCCTACTGCACCACCTAGCTGCACCTGCAGCTTGAAGAAAGATCAGTGCACCTTTTTTCCAAATACACTTTACCTGAGTGACATGCTTTGTCTCACCTTTTAAAAGGTGATATCTTTTGGTTTCAATCACTTTCATTTCTCAATAAATCTATCCATTGCGCCACCTAGCTGCCCCCTGCTTCTTTTTTTTTAAGTATATAACAAATTCTACGTGCGACTTCCTGCTTGACTGGGCTTCTTTCTTTTCTCTTTGACGCATTTTAGTTACTTATTAAGTTTAATGTTATGTTTTTTCAATGAACAAAAATCTATTTTTTCTCCCTCCTACCTCTACCCCCATTGGCAAAAAAGAAAACCAAAATCTTTGTAACAAATACGCACAAATGAGCAAAATCAATTTCTGCATTAGCCAAGTCTGAAAACGTCCATCCCCTGTCTCGCAGGAGATGAGTACCAGACTGCCTGGGAGAAGCGGTTAGTCATGGCATGGATCAGA